ATGAAATTGCAAATAATTCCTTTTCTTTTTTTTTTTTTTTTTTAAAAGGTCATATTTATACATTTATCTATAGTTTATAGTACAAAATATACTCTCCAAATACAATGCATTGTTTCAACTTGTATATATAAAGAGCTAGTTTACCACGCACATGCCTGTGAGACACGTGAGATGTCAACAATCACGTTCGTTGGATTTTAGAATTCATAATTTTGTCCCCACTTCTGAAAATTTACTATTTCACCAAATTAGCATAGTGTTCTTTGTCTATTGAATGTTGAGTAAAACTCTTTGGCGTTAAGAGACGTCACAAAATGAAACAAATAAGTGCTAGTAACTATGTTAAAACAATATTCAAAACAAGTGTTTACAATTATCACGAATATCCTCATTGATAATATTATCATTACGTGGTACAAGTTCTCTTAAAATGATACTCTTTCCTACTCAATGCGACTCTAATTTTGTTCTTTTAATGTTTTTTCTATCATGGAGAATCAAAATAAGAGGAAAAAAAATGGGTTCGGTAGTTACCGTTGGTAGACCTTTACGAGAAAATAATTAAATACTTAATTAAGAAGTAGCTAATATCTTATTAAAATATGCTAAAAATAATTAAATGAGAATTGAAAATTTTAAATTGCACATGCCTATCGCTGTCAGTTTTCTCTGAGAACTTGTAGACTATTGCTCATTTCACATGTTACCTAATCAATGAATTAATTACTAGTAAACTTCAATTAAAAATTCTAATATAGTGCTGGTGCAAAATTGATGAATATGATTGGAAATTGTGTGGCTAAAAAGTAAGAAAAATTATAGATAAATGTGAATAATATTTTTTAATAGAAAAATAAGTGATCGAAAATGGTCTTGTTCATATTAAACGTGGACGTGGCATGTTAGGAGCAATAATTGCTAAGGATATTCCATCTTCTTGTCCTCTACTTCATTTAATTAGTAACCGAAATGTATAGAAATAGACCAGTGAATTAATATATAATATTGCCAGGGAAAAATTGGACGGTGCTGAACAAATTTTCATGCTTTTCTTTTTAATTATAATTATGTTCGATAGTAGTTTAGGAAAATTTGTACCTTGTATTCATTGTGCTTCGTTAGTTCTTGACATACAAAAGTGTTGAGAATTGTGGTTAAAGTCTCGCGTCTATCGGACATAGGTGATGATGAACATATAAGATAATTTAACCTAAAAGATTAGCCTTTTTGAATGTGACCTCGATTCTCTAGAAGTGGTATTAGATTTGGATAGGGTCCCATATTACGGATGTTCTAAGAAACTTGTAATTGACTCTCAAAGTGTCGTGCTCATGTAAGATAATGTCCATTGATAGAGCGTGTAATTCTTTTAATTTGAGGAAGAGATGGATAGACTTTAAACTTAGAAGGGTCTAGATGATCCGGTATTTCGTTAAAAAGATGTATTGTTGGGAAAGTGCAATCAAAAATCCACATCGATTATACATAATGTAAATGATGAACTACCACACCTTATATGTAACTTTTGAATACAATAACTGTACATAATACATGTGAAAGAGTATACAAATATTGTACAACCAAGACAAAATGTTCTCTCATGGGAAAGAGATGATGTATGTATGTTGTCCTCCCATTTAACTATCTTTTTATTCATTTTTTTTAATCCAGCACGACAGTTCTTGTTAGCAAATGAGAAAATGTTAATTAATTGTATCACCTTTGAAAAGACGTCTTTATATTTGCTGACAAGAGCACATATTCCTGAGGTGATAAAAAAAAGTAAAAATGTGAAGAGAGTTAAATTCTCAACTTGCTCAGAAAAAGCCCAAGGGCAATTTGGCAAATAGAGTTGAATTCAAATAGCTGAAAACCACATGGTTTTGCCCTTACCAGACCAAACCTACAACTACACTGTTACAAGGGTAAAACTAGTTTATCGGAAAAAATTGACATGCATTTTGACTGTGATGGAATCCACGCGGGACCCATATAAATTTTAAAAGGCAACAATGTCTTCCCTTCCTTTACACTGTGAGGGGATGTCAGGGAGGAGGGTGTCAAGCTATCTTGGTTCCTGTTGCAATCCTCTTTACAGTAAATAGGCTGACCCCACATGTTTTATTCATTTCTTGCAAAATTATTTCATTACAAATCTTGCACACCATCTTACCCCACCCCACCTGCCTACTCTTTAAATAACGAACCTTCTCAAACCCCATAAAACCCCCCAGAATTCCTCTCATTTTCTACACCCAATTTACATTCCTCCAAAAATTCCTTAAAAAATAATGGCTAAAGGAGGCAAGCTCACGAAACTCAAGTCAGTTCTCAAAAAGATGCAATCTTTCAAGCTCGGCCGCCTCAACGGCACCTCTGTGGTCGCCAATAACTCATCAGATGATGGCTCATTTGACAACAACAGCGCAGCCAAGGACCTGCACCCCATCTATGTCGGCAAGTCACGACGGCTCTACTTTATCACTGCCGATGTGATGGACAATCCACTTTTTCGAGAGCTCGTGGAGCGGTCTGGCGATGGCGAAGAGTCGACCACTATTGGCTGCGAGGTGGTGCTTTTCGAGCACCTCCTTTGGATGCTGGAAAATGCTGATCCTCAGCCCGAGTCCTTGGATGAGCTGGTGGAGTTTTATGCATGCTGATAATTTATGCTTAAAAATAACTGCCAGTAACTGAAAATTAACTGGCGAGGGGGTTGAATGTCATCCCCAAATTTGGCATATAGGCTGTAAATTTATTTTTATAATATTGTTTTTAATTAATGTTATGATTAGCATTGTAGCATACATATATTAAAGAGTGACAACTAAAACAAATCATTTTACACAGCTAATCTTAAGCCTAACTGGTAATAATTATTTCAATAAGTATGTGATTTCAAAATGAGAAAAAATCATAAGTAAAAGGATAAGTATCCCTTATTTCAAAATTAAGAAAATAAGTTTGGAATTTCAAAAATCAAAATTTTATTAAAATTTATTATGATTTAATTAATTAATTAATTAATTATAATGATGTCATAATTATACAATTAATAGTCACAGGTACATAATTAATTGATCACAGATTATTTTTGAGGTCACAAATAAAATTTTTTATAGGTTACAAATCATTTCGAGGTCATAGATCAAAAATTTTATACGTCACGAATTATTTCGAGATCACAGTTCAAAAATTTTATAAGTCACAATTTGTTTATCAGTCACAGATCAAAACTTTTGGAGGTCACGAATTATTTTGAGGTCACATATCAATAATTTTATAGGTCACAGATTATTTTATTGATCATAGATCAAAAAATTATAAATCACAGATTAATTTTTAGTCACAAATTGTAGAATTTTAAGGTCACGGATAGTTCATTATGCGGTTACAGCTAGTTTCCGCCACATCACCACTATTTCACAGATTTGAAAACCACAAACAGAAACAAAAACTAGAAATCCAGAACCACCTTGCCGCTACACTGCCACCACCTCAATATCTGAAAACCACAATCGGAAACAAAAACCAAAACCATCACTACAACACCAACGCCCCATCCCGCCACTAAAGTACCTACCACCGCCAACCACAACCAGTAACGCTGCCACCACCATCGACATCACAACCACCATCGCGACGAGCACCGCACCACCAACAGAGAAACTCAAACCACAAAAACCACTTCACACCGGCCTCAACCATCAGATCTGCCACCGTCAACCACCACCAAAACAGGTAGAAATCTCGCCGGCGTTGCATCACTCTTTCTGGCCGACGATTCACCCATCTCTGACACCGGCAATAGCGCGAACAAACCACTAAGACCCACATCACCCAGCCATNTCACAGATTATTTTTGAGGTCACAAATAAAATTTTTTATAGGTTACAAATCATTTCGAGGTCATAGATCAAAAATTTTATACGTCACGAATTATTTCGAGATCACAGTTCAAAAATTTTATAAGTCACAATTTGTTTATCAGTCACAGATCAAAACTTTTGGAGGTCACGAATTATTTTGAGGTCACATATCAATAATTTTATAGGTCACAGATTATTTTATTGATCATAGATCAAAAAATTATAAATCACAGATTAATTTTTAGTCACAAATTGTAGAATTTTAAGGTCACGGATAGTTCATTATGCGGTTACAGCTAGTTTCCGCCACGTCACCACTATTTCACAGATTTGAAAACCACAAACAGAAACAAAAACTAGAAATCCAGAACCACCTTGCCGCTACACTGCCACCACCTCAATATCTGAAAACCACAATCGGAAACAAAAACCAAAACCATCACTACAACACCAACGCCCCATCCCGCCACTAAAGTACCTACCACCGCCAACCACAACCAGTAACGCTGCCACCACCATCGACATCACAACCACCATCGCGACGAGCACCGCACCACCAACAGAGAAACTCAAACCACAAAAACCACTTCACACCGGCCTCAACCATCAGATCTGCCACCGTCAACCACCACCAAAACAGGTAGAAATCTCGCCGGCGTTGCATCACTCTTTCTGGCCGACGATTCACCCATCTCTGACACCGGCAATAGCGCGAACAAACCACTAAGACCCACATCACCCAGCCATTAAGACCCTTTCACGGCTCCAAATCAACAAACAAACCACTAATAGCCTCCACCAAAACCAAACCGACCACAACACACTGTCCCCTTCACTCTACTGCCATCTTTTTCGATCTCTTACTGCCATTCGCCATCTCTCAGCCACTAAGACCCACATCAAACCCTCATCATTTCACAGCCGCCTTAAAAGAAGAAGAAGAAGAAGAAGGCGATGAGAGAAGTGGTGGTCTCGCAACGACGTGAGGGCGGCTGCGACGTCGCTTCAATGGAGGGAAGTTACATCGCCGGCAGAGAGGGAGGGAAGTTATATCGCCGTTGCGCCGACGTTCACAGAGAGAGGAGATGAGGAGAGGGAAGAGATGGAGGGGGAACTGAGATGGGGAAGGTAGAGAAAGAGAGAGAGGAAGGGAGATGGAGAGGAAAAAGCGACGGCAATTAGGGTTTGGTGGGATGAAATTGGGAAAAATATTAATTAAAATAAAACTTCTGATTTTTGAAAGAAAAAGTATCCCACCTGATTTTATAATTCATATCTCCGAAAATAAGGTGGAGTGTAATTTCTACTTTCAAAATGATACCAAGAGGGTGTTTGGTGGAGATTAAAATTAGATTTTTAGTAGATTGTGATAAAAGTTTTTAAAATGTGTGGTTGAAAAGTTGTGGGACCCATGAAAGATGTGGTTAATATTGATTGTCCGACTTTGACTTGAATTAAAATCAGATTTTATTCTCGACGAAACAGGGGCTAAGTGGAAGTTATCCTAATTTATTGACAGATTTTTAAAAAAAGGTTTAGCCATTTATTTCGACTAGTAACATATTTATATATAGCAAGTACAACAGAATTAGAAGAACCACCTAACTTTTTAATTTCTGGGCCACCTCTCCACAGGTTTTGGTTTAGAAAGCACGGACTGCCCCTCAAATGTCAGACAAGCAAGAAGCCAAACAAGAAATTTCACTTTAATTTTAATTGTTACGTAGAAGAAAAGATCGTCCACAAACTTTTTATTTTGAAAATTGAAAAGAGAAGTGAATAATAAATGAGTTGCACGAACAAAAATATTGAAGGGGAGTAAATTGTACACTTTCAATAGAAGACGACCGCATTTTGCGGCTTTTTGAAGTAGAATTGTCCATTCATGTTGCGATTATATCAACATGGTGCAGTCACCGCACCTTCTCCATAACTAAAATTCAGTCAGGGAACATTTCACTATTGAGATAATATTACTGAATTTCCATCCCTACGTTTAGCCTTTTAATCTAAAAGCATTGCCACAATATTCGTTTGTTTTTCAAGGAGATTACTAGAGGTGTCACTCCTGGTGGTCCGGGCCGGGTCGGTCTGCCAACATGTGAGCCCAGTAACGGCCCGCGCGAAAAAAAGGCCACCCGCTGCGGGTTCCGGACGGGTTACGAGTCGACCCACAATTTTTTACTACAACTCAGGCCCGCGGGTTACACTTCCTTGGCCCGTGAACCGCCCGCACGGGTTACGGGTCGGCCGGCGGTCCCGATTTTCACGGACCGGTTTTCACGGGTCATGGCCGGCCCGTCCGTCTTGACACCTCTAGAGATTACACGGAAGATAGATCAATTAATTACAGCATGCCTACCAAGTAAGAAATTTATTTCAAAATCCCAATTGAATATACTCCTCTAATTTTCTCATCAATTTTTTTTTTTTTTTATGTTAGCATTTTGGTAACAACTATGGGTAAGAAGTTACTTTCGGAATTGTTTGAACGATTTTTTGGTTAAAAGACTTAATAAAGAAAGTTGGCCCAAAATAATTTCCTCGTAAAATTCTTCTTCTGCAAAAAGTGAAAATAATCATTCCAAGTGATGCAAGAAGAAGATTGGAGATATATAGAAAATAAACAGGATCGGCCCACAATATATTTCTGGAACATAATCGGGGACCACTTGACCAGACGAAAGGGCTCACACACCCCATAATAGAGTCGAGAAGTCAAAAAACAACACAGTTGATAGGTTAATTTAATAAATGCTACGTTTATTGTTTTATTATCACATAAATTTGACTGAGTAACGATACTAATGATCTGAATACTCGGAATCAAGCACGACTTACGTTTAAATAGTTTCTACAATTCACACAATAAGGAAAATTTCATGCCGAAAGATAGTTGCAGTCTAAAACAATTTAGGATTATATCAATCTTAGGATCATTAATTTTAATTTACTCTTTTATCGTGTGGAAAAGTTTATACCATTTGTTAATCAAATGCTTCTTTTTTTAAAAATAAAAATCAAACCCTAACGAAATAATTATGAAAAAGTCATGAATAACAGAGAAAAATAATGTTTGTCGAACAAAAATCTCTTATTCGATAATTTGATTACTTAGAATGTGCTGTATTTATACAAATAATTCATACCATATTGACAAACATTATAAGGAAAGAAATAATGTAAAATATCCTACATTGATAGCAGAATCCATAATATTGTCAATCTTATATTACTATGATATTTTCCTATTATTGAGATAAAACTTTAACATTCCCCCTCAAGTTAGAACATGAATGTTTGAGACGTCCAATTTGCCCATATGACTCTTGAAAAGTGACTTTCCAATAGCTTTTGTAAACATATCAAGTATCTGTCTTGCTGAATTGATAAACTGCATTGCCAACAGACCCGCTTTGATCTTCACTCTAATCACGTGGCAGTTCAGTTCGATGTGTTTTGTTCTTTCGTAGAATACTGGCTCAGTAGCTATATGTAATGCTACCTGATTATCACAAAAAAAAGTGTTGCTCCTTCTGTAAGATTAACATGTAGATCTTGGAACAAATACCTCAGCCACATTAGTTCACATATTGCTGAAGCCATTGCCATGTATTCTGCTTCTGTTTAATATCTGGACACTAGCTTCTTCTTCTTCTTCTTCTTCTTCCAAGATACAAGAGAATCTCTCAAAAAATGCAAAAACCTGTAAATGATCTTCTGGTGTTTGGGCAAGATGCCCAATCTACATTACAAAATCCTTTCATTTTGAAATCATTTTGAGATAAGAAGAAAAGACCTTGTCCAGGTGCTCGTTTTATATATTTCAACACAAGAAAAGTGGCATCGAAGTGAGGTTTCCTTGGTTGATTCATGAATTGACTAAGTAAATTCACCGAGTAATGGATGTCTGATCTCGTGATAGTAAAATAGATGAGTTTTCCCACTATTCTTTTGTATTAAGAAGGATTTTTCAACCGGTTCCCTTCTGTTGGCTTCAATTTAAGATTATGTTCCATTGGAGATGCTACAAGTACCGTGCCCAATAGTCCACCTTCATCATAACGCATATTTTCTTTGTGAAATGCTTATGCCTTTACTTGAATGTGTGGCTTTAATGCCCAGAAAAAAAGTTTCAACTTTTCGTCTTTTATCTTGAAATGAATGCTTAAAAAAATCTTCAACTTTGCAATTTCTTCTTCATCATTCCCTGTTACAACCATATCATCTTTATAAATCAAGACACCAGTAACGCCTTTTGGTTCCCTTTTGTGAATAGGGAATAATCTACGAGAGATTGTTTAAAACCCGCTTTACATATAGTAGCAAAAAACTTAGAAAACCAATTTATGGAGGTTTGTTTCAGTCCATAAAGAGATTTATGAGGTTGACAAAATAATAAAGTCTTCCACCCTGTCGATTATAATCAGGTGGTGGGAGCATGTAGACTTCCTTCTCAAGATCACCATAAAATAAAGACATTTTGGACATTCAATTGATATAAAGGCCATTTACAGGCTGCAGTTGTTGGCCAAAGCTAATTTATTTGATACATCTAGGATTGATTTTTGGCCAATGCTAATTTATTTCGATAATGAGAATAACTATATAATTGATAATGAGCTGACAAAGTACCTTACACGACACTTAAGGACATGATAATGGTACACGAAATTTAGGATATAATTTTTTTTCTTTTCGATTATCAATATCTTAATTGGTAAAGTCAAAGCTTTAGCTGTACAAGTATTGAAAAAGGTAAATGCCTGCAGTGAGTAGAGTCCACAAGCATAAAAACAAGAGACGTGACATGACATGTAATAAAATGAAGTTCTCCCACGGACCTCGAGTGAGTCTACAAGACGGAATCTTCTTTTCACTCACCAAGTGAGAGAGAGAGAGAGTTAAATATTCTTAAAAATTCAGTTAAGAATGGTCAAAGGATACTATGGATTTGGACATTTAATGATAATCAACAACTTAACACGAGATTTGACATGATGCCAGAGGACATGTTCTCTCTCCGCATGTAACGGGATTTATGTCTGCTTTGTTTGGTTGGGGTCTAGTCTGATTTTCACTTTGAACAATTGAACTTTTAAGCAACTTATTCAAACAAGCTCATCCATCAGGTGTTCTGTTAATAACACACAACATAAGGCAAGAGAACCTACTCTTTCTCAATCATTCAAGATTATATTTCTCATTCTCGTTAGGGGTGGGCATTCAATTCCAATGAGAAATTTATAGTTTACTCTGCATTTTATTTGGGTTTAAGTGCAACTTTCTGACTTTGAACGAATACTTTTGGGTTTCTAGTGTTGCAATGTACTGTTTTTGGCACAAATTTTGGTTTGCAAATAAGTTTCTACTTTTATGTTACAATTATCTGTGATAGTAGAATGTACATATTACCGTATATAGCATATCACTTTGTTAATGTAACATTCTGTTAATCAATATGTTAAATATTGACTTGAAATTTAAGATTCAACAACAATTTAGGGATCTAAATGTAATTATTGTGACAGATTGTCATATGTGTGTAAGATTTTAAGAAGTGAGAATTTTTCACATCAATTATTGTAATTATTGATTATTGAATGCATATTACTTCATACACTAACTTGGTTGAGTGAACTGAGAGATTCTAAAAACAAAATTTGATTTGATTAAGAGAGATTAATTGCTAATCTAAGCGTCCAATATTCTTAAAAGACACTATGCTGGCGATGATGGGAACATGTGCACGTTAAAGTAAGAGAAAACTGCGAATTAAGATTGTAAACAAACCTTTAAATGATTCTACTAATTTTATAAGCTAGAATTGTTGATTGGCCGCATCTTTACAATGAACATTCAAGATAGTTCAAAATTTATCTTGAGTCAACAATAGATTTTGATCGATTGAAGTCTATTTTTCAACGTAAGAAATCTCTTTCTTGCACATCAAGCAAACTTGCTCGCCAAGTAACGTGCTTTGCCCACCAAGAAACTTGCCCTCTTACGAACTCCCACAAAATTTTTCTTTCAATTATGCATACGACCATGCATTCTAATATTTTCTTGAATGCAATGATGTGACTCTTAGAATTGATTAAGTATTAAATTATGGAAAAGTGACTTTCGTATCAACTTCGGTCAAATATTCGGATTTAATCCGATAGTCAAATTATAAAAATAAATATACTAACTTGTTCTACTCTTCGAGTAGATCGTCGTGATACATTTGAAAAATAAAAATCAATTACGGACGAATGAAAAATTACAGTCTAAAGTTGGAAAGAAAAAGATGAAACTGGCTGGACATTTATCCACCTCCGCCACTCGCCTAGCGCTCGAGTGGTGATACTGTCGCTCGAGCGATAGATTTTTTGTTTCTGAAGCTCGACGACGCAAGGGCGACATGCGAACGACACAAAAGCTGCTATCATTGGCAAATGTTGCTGGGATTTGAGGTCTATCTCTTCACTCGCAACCTCTCATCCTCCTCTATAAATAAGACCATTGGAACTTCCATTACTTCATCACAATGATATGCAATTATAGCATGACATTAAATTCATATTTTTCTAACCAAAACTTTGCATAAAAAATCTGTTTTCCATTTCATTCTAGAAGGAGTACAAAACCCAATCTTCGATTCATTGTTACAAACGCAAGAAGATAGTCGTTATATCTTGGGAGTTAATTGCCATCCTCCGTAGGCACTGTTGTGGGGCAAAATCGACATAAAGACAAAGAGTTCAACTCTTGCCTCGACTTTACATCCATTTCACTTGGCGATATTTTGACATTCTTTTTCTTTGGTATTTTATTACTCATTTTCTTACATTTACTCTGTTCAATTTTTAGTAAGGTTGATAAGTTTGATTTTTTATTACTCATTTCCTTGTCGTTACTCTGTTCAATATTTGATGAAGTTGGTAAGTTTGATTTTTGTTTTTAAAATCATCACTCAATTCAATTTTCTGTCACTGATGATCTCATAAATTTTTGGCCTCTACATAATCATTTAAAGTAGCATGCATGTCAATACACTTGCAAATTAAAAAGATTACATTCAACAATCCGAACACTGAATACTCATGAAACCAATTAAACATCAAATGCAGGTGAATAATTTGGCAAGCCTAAAAAGGCCAGGAACAGCCAGCTGCTGTAACTGGCAAAAAGATTATTTCTATCTATCTAACATTTGTCATTTCGAAAAGAAAAATGAAACAGAAATTTTTTTATATCAGTGCAAAAGAGACCTTTGTTATACATAATATATCTCAATCTTTGAAGAGACCAAGGTACTCTCCTCATTCCTCAACAGAATATGATGTCCCAGCTGCAAAATTGTTCAGATTACCAAAGTTTAGTACACATAGAAGTAAGTAAATAAATAAATAAACAAAGGAGAAAGAGACAAATTTTATCGATTAAACTCTATGATCGTGTCGAGTACTGTATAAAACGAGCCCCTAAAGACTCCAACTGCTTTAGTACCCCTCCTTAACGCATTCAGTTAACAAGAATAAGGATTTTGAACTAAAATAACCCCATGCTAATCTGTGATTCAATAATAAAATCTTGCTTCTCTTGTAACTTCCCAATTTTTATCCACATTGATCAAATTACAGGGCGTGCTTAGAAACTACGGCCTGTATATTGAGACATGACTGTGTAATATCTATACTCCTCAAACTCCAATTATACCTCCAATGGATCTTCCAACCTGAGCTAGTTAAATTTTTAGCACGGGAAGATAGGACAAGATGTAGAATTCATGAACTGCGTAAAGAGAAGAGGGATAACGGGACTTAACCTGCACTGCCTTGGGCTTGCTCTTTTCGATGATTTTCCATGCACTGCAGGAGATACTTGAAAGTCTCAGTCTCGCACGGGATTGTGAGAGCGCCACTATGATCAAATCCAAACTCCTCCTCAACCTTTTCTAGCAACACCTTAAACAGTGGATCACTAAGATAGCTAGTGGGGATTATAAACCTCCGAAGCTCCGGCCCAACATAAACTGCAAGGTAGCCTTTTGGAACATCGTATGGTGATTCTGGACTCTGGCAACCATCCTCATCCGAGTCGCAATATACGTTAGTGCTCCTCAGCCTTCTATTAATTGCCGGTGAAATGCCTCCGGGAACTTGATTCTCGTTTGATCGCATGTTATTACCCTTGGGGCTAAGTGTTACGTTTTGCCATTTTTGAAGGAACTCCTTGAGTCTAACAATTTGCCTGATTCCTGTCACCTTGCTTCCTCCATTATCCTCCATTGTTCTTAGCTCTTACCACAACAATATTGATCAGAAGGCGGATACCAATTCAATATTTTCACTCATCAGATCTTGTTCCACTGCATTTTGTTGATACAGATGCCCAGTTTCAACTACAACAAAGATTGCTGCAATTTGATTTTCAATTGATTTAGCTAATAACTTTTCGAGTTTGACAACAAACACATCAACTGCATTGCAAAATCAAGACAACGCTTTTTTATTTAAAATACCACCAAATGTCCATGTTTTGTTAATCGAGTTTCTTTCAAGATATTGATTCCATGTGATCATAATTTAATAAATGTGGCTTGATGATGACAAAAGAGGTCTTCACATGATCACAAGTTTATTACATTAAATAATGACTGAATATTTTTTTATGCAATGATCATACACAAAATCTGATCTACAAATTTACAGATCAAACTTTATCACCTTATAAACCGCAAATGCATGGATTATTTTCAAAGTTTACTGAATTAGAACAAATTATATCTGTTTATGCCTGATAACAATCGAAAGGGGAAAATCAAATATGCCTTTTTTTTTTTTTTTGATGACTCAGGTGTCGGAACTTCGTCTGACTAGTCCTGAGGGGGTGGCGGCCTTCCCCTCTGGTTCGCCACCCGAGTAAATCCAGACGCGGTCACAAAATGGGGATAAGCTTCATCATAGAGAGGGTTATATTCAAGATGGGGATAGGCTTCATCATAGAGAGGGTTATATTCCTCTACATTTTTCAAAAGCTATGATCGGGGAAGAACTATTCATTTTGGGCTAAATCCATTATTTATCGTCAAGAGAGAAATACCGCAGATCACTACTTAAGGTCCCTAAATGATCCAAATGACATAGGGGTAATATATACGGAGAAGCAACTAAAAAGAATTCTAAACTAATAAACATGAACACACCATAGTAACAAAAATGCATAGAAACAAGAAATAAGCACCTGGATGGCGGCGGAAGAATACGACGGAGGCGGTGGTCAGAGCATCGGAGGATGGTAGGAGGTGTAAGGGAGGTAGATGGAAGGCTCTTTTCCTACGGTTCTCCCTTTGAAAAAGAGTAGATTTCAGAATAGTAAACTATATTATTATTCTGATTACAAATTCCCATAGGAAGAAAGAATCATTGCTTCTTCTTTTGCTTTTATAACTCTCATCTTTTGTCGCAGTGTTTTTCTCTCTCTCTTATGGCTCCACCTACGTTTTCGGACCCTTCAATTCTTAAACACCCACCATTTTTCAATTATTGCATTCCTTAATCCCATCAAAAAACATGATTGATTGATTAATTCGACTATTAGATCAGATCTAGAGAATTCATAAACCACGTGTTCCTGCTGTCATGCAAATTATGGCAACAGCTCTATTTCTTTCCAGCAAATGCCATTTGATCGAAATTACCATTCGATTTGCCTCTAAAACGTAGTGGGTTGAGGATATGGTAAGATTGACAAAAAATTTCCATAGTATTATGTTCTTTGATAATTTTTCTTCCTATTAGTTCCTATTTCATCTCAACTAATGTGGGACTAGATAAACTTGTGTATCTTACTAAAGCAATTTATCATACATTAGAGACATTTTTAGTATTTTTTATAAATAAACCTGGATTTCTTGTCGAAAGGGGAATCATTATTGAATATCACGTAAAGGTCTTGACAATTTGACATAAACTAGGTGGTAAATCATGTGAAAACAGTGACAAAAGTTGTAGGATCGTGAAATTATGATTGATTGGAACATTAAAAAATTCAAGATCTGGTTCTTTAATGTCCACAATTATAGCTGTAAAATGAATAATAATAACTAATATCAGAGATATTCACATTTTTCATGGGACTTAAAATCAAGGCTATATTTTCTTTTCTTTTAATATTGATGATCATTTCTTTATTTTTACTTAATCTGGAGTGTGTGGTGTAGTTACAACTTACAACGATGTCAATTATTATTTAACTCCAGATAAAAAAATATTGTTTCTTGGTGCCAAGTAGGATATATGGTAGAAAAATATTGTTTCTAGTGAAGAGAATGTGCGTTGCACGTTAGTTGATTATTGTCGACAAGATAGAAATGATTTTATTTTGGAATTGATGTTGGCTGATGGTTTCCTTCATCCGATGAAGTACGAAGGAGTTATTTTTTTCTCCCATTTGATACAACATTATAGATGCATAATCGCTTTCGACGATAATCCTTAACTAAATTACATGCCACAACACAACCAGCTTGCCTAACCATACCAAAAGAGTAACCTAATATAACTCGCTATTATCTTAACCGTAGGTAAAATGATAGTTGGCATAATAACATTCAACATAACGAAGAAGCCAATTAATGTCATAAAGCATGTAGTCAGATTACATTAGATAGTACATTTTTACCCACTTCTTAAAGCAACCTCATCGAGAGCACAGTTAAATAACACACAAGTCCAATAAATCTAAGTAGTAAGAACAATGATTGTTATTATCTATACACATTATCTCCTCCAGAGAAATAATGCATAAATTTGAAAAATATTACTGGGAAAATTACATTATAGAAACGTGTTTGACAGAGTGAAGTTTCAAGCCTAAATATAGTTGTCATGCTGTCTATATATTCAGGGCGATGCAAAACGACTTGAGAGTTTAACCAACAAAACCATGAGAAAGAAATACAATGCCCGTTTTGTGATATTATAAATGTATACTACAGCAAAAAATGACCCAAGGTTTACTGCTTACTTCCATGGACGCCAAAATGAACCAACCCTGACAATAAGGATATGGAAGCTATAGAAAAAAGAAAAAGAAGGATCTTTCCATTAACCAAGCCCATCAGTTAGAAGAATGGGAAATCAGAAATGAGCATGATGTTCCTAAGAGAAACTACATACTGAAGGAATTAAAGATCCTAACTCTAAAACTGTGCACATGAAAATATATGTAGATTAAATTGCAACAGTATAGTATTTTCCTATAAAAGAGTTTAAGGAAAAAGTCAATATTCTGACAAATTCCAAAAATTTGCAGAAAGTTCTAAAGATATCCACTATTCAGCATATAAAAGTGAAACATTAACGTACAATGTCCAGGATTTATGACTGCAACATTGAAATCTCAAGCAATAGGTATGGAAGCTGAGAAAAATATCAAAATTAAATTCCAATACTTTATCACTAAGCCTAACTTCAAGGCCGGTATCATAGTGAAAAACCTTCCAAAAAGAAAAGACTTCTAAAGTCTTTGAACAAACCTTGTGAAACTTTGAATATCTAAGATCTATCAAAACGAAAAGAATAGATATCTTTGCATGCATATGAAAGAGTTTACATTTCAACAATTTTCAACCCCTACAATCTTATGGTCATCAATAAACATTTGGTAACGAACCTTCCCCACCTTCCCCAATTATCACGTGAACAAAGCTGAATCCAATAAAGTCTTATTTCATACTTATTTCAGCTAGGCAACCAAATATCACAAGTAACTAAGAAAAAAGAAGAGAAGGGTTGGATGGATGTATCATCATCCCTAAAATTTTCATCTCCCTTGTTCCCCACAATTACCCAGCGCGAGAGTTTTTTTTTTTTTTCAAATTCATGTAAGACAGTAAACAACAAAATGCAAACGAAACTTTAAACTGATAAAAATACTTGAACAAACACTGTACAAAATCACAATCCCCACATGCCTAGGTAAATGGAAAGATCAGCATTTAAACTTTTACACCTTCGTCACCCACTATTTATCTATAGTTTATTTTTTCTTAAAACTTTTGAAAAGGAAAACAACAAAAATTGAAAGCCACAGTTACCCAACTCCAGGGGATTTTTCAAATTCCTGGCCAACAATAAACAATGAAATGCTAACAAGACCTTAAGTGGGTAAAAAACTTGAAGAAATACTGTACAGAATCACAATCCCACATGCCCGAGTAAATGAAAAGACCAGCATCTAAACTTTAACACCATGGTCACCAATAATCTATATATATTTATTTCACCATAAAACTGTTAAAAGGATTCCTGGTCAACAATAAACAATGAAATGCTAACAAGACCTTAAGTGGGTAAAAAACTTGAAGAAATACTGTACAGAATCACAATCCCACAACCCCGAGTAAATGAAAAGACCAGCATCTAAACTTTCACACCACGTTCACCAATAATCTATATATATTTATTTCACCTTAAAACTGTTAAAAGGAAAATGATACAAATTGAAACCGCAAAATGATATTCAAAACAAAGTAACTAAGATTACAAAAGAACATAAAAATTCATCCATGTCTACAGATTCTCAGTAGGAATAGGCAATATTGCGAAGATTTTATAAATCCATTTAATGGACTCATTTAATTTGATTATGCAATAAATGCCCACCATTAAATCTTAATTGGTAGCCAAAAAAAAAAACCGTGCACTATTTTTTTTTTAAATACCAATAACAATGATCTTTTTTTTTTTAAGTCATTTTTTTTTTACATTGCTACCAATATCATTTAAGACTTATCAATAAAATGCAACTTAAACGAAAAACAATAACATATTATCTAGGAACAATGCATTTTTTTCTTTTCCTTTTTTTTTTTTGGCCATTTGGTGGGGTTTGGGCTTGGCGCCAGGGGAAGGTAGACATGGATTGGTGGTTATAACTGATAAAGGCAATGTTAGGATAAGTGCATATCAAAATCACCAGTTCACCACATACAAGTGTATTCATAGCACTAGCTTTCTTGTGATGCTGGAATCCTGGACGCTTGTCACGAGAAACATGCACTAATCCAAACTTTAACCCAATTTTATAAAATGAAAATTGAAAACTAAAGATGTAATTAAAATTGATTGAAGCCATATAATACAATAATGCATAGAAGATGGATTAAAAATTATCTAACAACTGATCTTACTGGAAGGGCCAGACACTTAACTTTAGCTGCCCCTTGAACCCAGGCTACGGATTTAGCAGGAGGCTCAAGCATAACAACAGAAAGAGCAGTCCAAAAGAGCCCAGAGTAAATTGCAAATGCTGAAGTTATATGTGCTACAATACATGTCTCTGTCCAGTGGCCGGAGTTCCATGTCTCCATCCACTTCCATAACTTATGGAAGTGGACGAAGACATGGAGAAATGTCTCCATCCAGTGGACAGAGTTCCATGTCTTATAGTCAAGGATCATTTCTGGAGAATACAAGTAATTATTTCCATAATGCATTGAATTCAGCCATAGGAATTGTAGGCATGACTTTTTTCATTAAGCATTGAACCAAAAACTAACACAGTAAAGTATGTATCTTCTTGGCTTAGACTACAATAGCTTTAAGCTGAGCCTGTCATCGACTATTTCATACAAACTCTAGCTAAATCACAACATCTGTATAGCATCATTATGGAATCAAATGCACTTCAAAATATAAAGCAACAAATACTCAGGTTGCATTTAGTGGCAAACAATTGGGGAATCAAAATTGGTTATGTGAATAATATATTCAAAATTGAACAGAAATATTTTGTAAATAGAATAAACAAAGTCCCATTTCTATATAGTCAAACATAGGATAAAGAAAGAATCATCACCTTCATAGAGAAGTTAAAAATCATGAACTCAATCACGGGCAAGAGACCATAGTAAGCTGCACCAACTCCAATTCCAGTAAATCCGACCTGCAACATATAAATTGGTTGAGTATGAAAAATATTATAAACACAACTAAATTCATGAGTAAAAGGCAAAGAGAAACCTCAGTCATAGAAGTATCCACAACTCTATCGGGACCATACTTCTCCAAAAGCCCTTTGGAAATCTAAAGTAACATAGAGTAAATCAAAAACTAATTACTGAAAGAATAATAATAAGATTATGAAAAGTCTTTGTAAATCAAAAATTGATTACTGAAACAATTTGAGTAAGTGCATTTTCTTCTCATACTAAACTAAAACTTCTAGTTTACCTCTTCACCCATTAAAAAGACTTTAGGGTCAACATACATTTCTTCATCAAGTGCCGAATTTAAAGCCTCAGGTACTGTCATCTGCAAGTTGAGCAAAAAATCCTCACGTACTGTCATCTGCAAATTGGAGCAAAAAATCTATTGTTCGAGCTAATGGAAAGGAAGGAGAAGCAATAGGAGGTTGCGTGGGAAAATGGAGGAGGAGTGTGTAGTTGCGTGAGATAATGGAGAAAGAGGAATGGCGGTGCGAGAATTTTTTTGGCGAATTTCAGGGAATTTTTTTTTTTTTTAAATGGGGATTTTTTACGATAACGGGAAATTGTGACACGTGTGTGAGATTTACTTAGCCTCTTTTAATATATAGTGATATAAATAAATCGTGAATATGAGACAAGTAATAAGTGCTCAAGTTTCCTTTTGATCCCAACTCCAATATGGTCCTCGTCCTTTGATAGCCTACATTGCTCTGGAAGGATCCTTAAGGTTAAAAAGATAAATCCTAAACTAACAATTCGATAAATTATGATATTTTAACGTATAGACACTCCTAGGGTATATCTAGACATAGTAGAGAGTGTTTCCATACTCTTTTAAATTTTCAGTACCAAATATTATTTCTTGAGGGGTCATGTTCTTGAAGCCTTGATTCCATTGAGTTTATATGTATCAAGGTTTCATGTAGAACAATTTCTTTACTTGCAAAAACTTAAAAGAGTCTTCCTCATGTTAATGGCAAAATACAAAAATATTATAATTGTAGATTAATTACATTGTCTTAATAATAATATATATATATTTTTTTTTTCTCTTCTCTCCCTTCCTCTTCCTAACGTTTTGGCATTTATAAGACTTGTCCTTTTTTTTTGTTTTAATGAATTTCACTCCTCCCTTTTAGATGAGACTCGAACACATTTTACTGACTTGGTAAGACTGTCTTTTTTATAATATATTTGGGAAGTGTTTATAAACGATTTAATTCATACATAGATAGAAATAAGCAGTAAATAAATATGTCATTTTCCTAAGTTAATGGCCCAAATTATGTTTCTTCTAGATCCCTTCATCTTGTATACAAAAACTTGGGCCAGCTACATTTTTTTTGTTTTAGTTGGACTTCATTGGGCTCTTCTGCCAACCAAGACTGCCATCAAAAGAAAAACAAAACCCATTTGCTAACTAATTTTTTTACTTGAATAAAATTCGATAAACAAGACTTAATTTCTCACTTTTCCGATTAAGAAATCTTAAAACTTGAACACTACTTCTTGTTTCAGGCTATAGAACTTGCTTTTATCTTTATGGAACATAAACATACCTTAAAAACATTTATTCTTAACCAATGATACGTATGAATCTCAAAATTGAGAAAATATGGTATTTACACGTCAAACTTCAAACATTTTGCATGTTTCTCTTAACTAATTGTGTTCACGTTGAATATGTTCAAATAGAAAATATGAAGTGCGTCGGTATGAATTTAGAGAGAAGAAAAAATAGTTGGGTATGGATTTCAAGAAAAAGCAAATATATATCAAGTTGGTATTTTATTTCATATAGGAAATAATTTATAATTGCATTATTTCATGTCAAAGCAAGTTAGTTGGGTTTTACCTTTCAATTCGAATTTGCCACTTTTTTTCCAAATAAACTGAATATTACTAGTCAGCTGTGGCTTTCATATGAAGTTTAAAGTCTTAGGAGTTTGGTAAGTTTTATAATTATAAATAAGAATGGTGACATTTCAATTCGCACGCGAAACAACATTTACATGCATATGCATGCATTCCTAATCTATAAGAGTTGATCAATTTTGATAACCTTAAATTAGACGTTTGATCTATAAAGAGTGTATTCTTAAAAAAAAAAAAAAGAAAAGAAATTAGAGTTGGACATAATCACTTTGCCTTCAGATGGATATTTTGATAAATATTGAGACATTTCAAAGGAACGATAGTAGTCAAATCTCTTATATGTTGGTTAGTATTTTATATGTAATTGATGTAGGATTTTACTCTCACACCTTGTTTGATGCACATTATTGAATGGAAAATTCATTTTAAATAGTGATTTGATGGAAAATATGTGGTTAAGAAAATAAGGAAAGGTTTTGGATTTGAGTGTAATAATATTTTATTAAAAAATGTGTGGTTGGAAATGAGTTTTTAAAAAATAATTTTTTATTAAGAATGTGGATTAAATAGGGTGTTAATATGTTGAATAAAGCTATTTGTACAAAAAGAATTTGACAAAAATGTTGACAAACACTCACATGATTGTCGGCCCCGCATGAATAAAAAATTGAAAATAAAAAGTGGGTCCCCCCACATGTGAGGGTTTGTCAACATTTTTGTACAAATTCTTTTGTACAAGTAGCAAGGTTCTAATATGTTTTCATAGGTTGGTGGCTCATTCGAGGACAACTCATTTGAACAATTCTAGATGGATCAAATGTCTTGTTTGAGAATTATGGACAGTGTTCTAAAAAACATAACACGTGGATAAGTAGCAAGATTGTGCTCCTAGTCTAGGTAGGCTTTTTAGAACACTAATTACGGGCATATAATATCATAATAAGCATTGAGGATCCATCTAGGTGTGGGCTAAAGAACCTAAACCTGTCAAATCGAGTTATGCATAAATTTTAAATGGTTCCAAATTCTACAACCAAGAACATGTTCCAACCTAATCGGGTTTTTAAGATATAATTCATTTGGTAAATAATTTTTATAAAATAAAGATTTGTATGAAGATAGAACTTGACGATTGAATTTTATTTTTTCAATATTGGATGTGATTAGTAACTTTTGATAATAGAATATTGGATGTGATTAATAACTTTAGATAATATATATAATAAAATTATATATATTTAGTTTTTGCAAAATAATTTTTAATATTTTATTACGACTAACAGTCAACGACCACTCGTGCTCACTCAAAATTCTGGAACCAAACCAATATAACTCGGCTTAATTCTATAGTTACTTATGGAGATCGAATCGCTTGTTTGATCTTATTAGGTCGTTAATTAGTCAAGCGCGTCTAACGGCTAAGAGTAGGAATATTTACAACTCAACTGCTCTGCTGCTTATGAAAATATAAAAATTGCGTATGCATATGGTGTAGTATGCGCACGACTTTGACACAGCATATTTATAAATAATAAAATAAAACATCCATCCATCCATCTAATTGAAATCTACAGTCTAACTAACTCCTTCCTTAACATCATAGTCAAATGTTTGGTCGGTTTCAGATTCATTAGACATAATTATTATGAATATTCTTGTAAAGTTAGGTTCAGAGTCTCGCTATAATTTAGGAAGAAATTCAAAATTAAAATATAGGGAAAAGGAATATTTTACAAATAATTTTCATTTTTAATCTCGTTATTCTATAATAAAAAAAGTATTGTCAAATAAATTACAAATCTAATAGAGAGAATTTACAAAAACACATCAAACATTTTATTTTATATTATTATACTCCAATTAACAAGGAAATTTGACATATTAGAAATTTTCATTTTGAATCAGGTAAGAAATAACATACTCTATTTTGAGATGAATGATTTTAATTTATTCTAATATAGGTTGAACCACGTTTGAATTCTCTAGTAGTAATTTGGCATCATATAATTTGAAAAATGTTATGATACGTATAATATAACACAATCTCACATAGTGTCGTGTCGTGTCTTGATCATTTACAAAGACATATTTGTTCTCCTCGAATTCGTTTGTCTCACGTCTTTCGAGAAGGAAACGTGCCTTGCTTGTTTGGTCAATGAGACGTATCTTCATGGGACGGATAGTACTCAAGACTACGAACATTAGTAGGAAGCTTAAAGGATTGATTCATTTATAAAGTTACTTCGCCTTATTCTGATTCTCTCTATTTAATATTTACATGTAGCGGTTCGTCAAGCTCCCCACTTAGGTACAGTTGGATTTTCTAAAAAGAAGAGAAGCCGAAAATAATCAACCTTGTTGATTAATCCTAGGTAGCTAGGTGCCGTATGATTGTTTGTTTCTTAAAATGCATTATATATTTTGTTATTACACTATTGATTCTTGTCTTGCACTACAAATCAAGTTTTTAAAATATGACGGACAAGATTAAAGTACGTTTGAAAACAATCAACAAGGATTTTGGTACTTCAAGGGACATTTGTACTTCAAATGTCTTGTGCATTAATCCAACTTTCCAAAATTAGAAAAAGAAAAGGAACAAAAAAATTTACCTTTTTGAGAAAATGAGAAGAAAATAAGTTATTAAAAGTTTCATACATTAACCTTTTTGAGAATTAATAAGACCGATTGACTTCTTATTGAATAAATTTAAATCCAGTGTATTTTCTTCTTTTCTTGATGGGAAAAATTCTAATGTCCTTCGACCTTTTTAAGAGCGAAATCATGGAGTTTTTAAGTGAAAATTTTCAATATTACGAAGACTTCAAATATATGCCGACCCTCCTCTAATTCTATCCCTTCTCCTTTTTTTCCTCCGTATGGAAAGAATTTATAAACGGTTTAATTTGTAAATTGATTGAAATGAATAGTAAATAAGTCGATAGCAGTTATAAATTCAATGAAATGTGTGGTTGGCAATGAAATTTGACTATTTATAAAGGGATTGTTTGACAAATGATAAAATTATTGAAATATATGGTTAAGAATTTGATAAATCGTTAAAATAATTGACAATTTTTTAAACTTTTCCAAACAAGCACCAAGTTTGCGAAATGGAGGCCTAATTTCCTATTAGAAACAGTAGCCAATTACTTTGATTCGTTAATAAAATTCCGATAATATAAGTTTTTAGTCATAAAAATTGATTAAATTTTATTTTCATAATTAAATTCTTTAATTTGGAAAAGTTTCAAAGAAAACATTTAATGGTTTCTGGAGGCATTGTCATTGCATGTTGCTTAAACCTAGTAAGTTATTAAAAGTTTCATACATTAACCTTTTTGAGAATTAATAAGACCGATTGACTTCTTATTGTATTTTCTTCTTTTCTTGATGGGAAAAATTCTAATGTCCTTTGATGTTTTTAAGAGCGAAATCATGGTGTTTTTAAGTGAAAATTTTCAATATTACGAAGACTTCAAATATATGCCGACCCTCCTCTAATTATATCCCTTCTCCGTTTTTTTCCTCCGTATGGAAAGAATTTATAAACGGTTTAATTTGTAAATTGATTGAAATGAATAGTAAATAAGTCGATAGCAGTTATAAATTCAATGAAATGTGTGGTTGGCAATGAACTATTTATAAATTGATTAATAAAGGGATTGTTTGACAAATGATAAAATTATTGAAATATATGGTTAAGAATTTGATAAACGTCATAAATCGTTAAAATAATTGACAATTTTTTAAACTTTTCCAAACAAGCACGAAGTTTGCGAAATGGAGGCCTAATTTCCTATTAAAAACAGTAGTCAATTACTTAGATTCGTTAATAAAATTCCTATAATATAAGTTTTTAGTCATAAAAATTGATTAAATTTTATTTTCATAATTAAATTCTTTACTTTGGAAAAGTTTCAAAGAAAACATTTAATGGTTTCTGGAGGCATTGCTGGTCGTTAGGCAATGAGTGGGAAACACGAATTTATCTTTTCTAATTAATAATTAAAATCTTCATTATTTTATTAGACTTTTCAACAGTGAAATTAATAAAAGAATATTTTAGAAACTTTCACAAGCTGCCAACTTTTCATACTTATGATGAGAGCGGGATTAGAGAGCCAATTTAATTTTTTTTTTTTTTAAATGGCTGGAAAAATTTATAATATAGAGGTTAGAAGATTGGTTAATTGATGTTTAACAGAGATCTTTTATTTCATCTACAATTTATGATTATTCATTTAGACGTTGAAAAAAAAAAAATTAAGGACTCGTTTGGAATGACTTTTGAATCATTAAAAGGAGATTTTGAGATTCAAAAATTGCTTTTGGACCCATTTAATTGACTTTATAAAAGTAATTCTTCTAATTGGAAATAATTTTTTTTTTTTTTTTAAAATGTTATCTAGCATCAATAGTGTTAGAACATCAATTCAGATGGTCACACTTGATAGGTTTATTAAATGAATTATATGACATTGCATTTAAATAAATCCATTATTTAATGGCATACAGTTGTCATCTAAACTGGTACTTAATATCAATAGTACTGAATATCATTACTCAGAAAAAGAAAACTCGCCACCATCACATCACCCACTGGAATGTGTCGCATATACCTTTGTAGCTCACACAACTTATGACTTCATTATTATGCCCATGTTTGGTAGAGATTAAAATCAAAATTTTAATAGATTTTGAAAAAAGTTGATGAAATGCATAGTTGAAAAGTTGTGGGATCCAAGATATATGTGATTAAAATTAATTGTTAACTTTGACTAAGATTAAAATTTGAATTTTAATCGGCACCAAATGAGGGCTACATTTAATTTAAGTTCAATGCACTAATTAATTAGTACTATGATTAGCATAATGATTGTTGTTGTGAACATATTAGTAAGTATGACGGGGATTAAAATTAGAACTTTAGTAAATTTTAATAAAAGTCAATGAAATGTGTTAAAAAGTTGTGGATCTCATGAAATATATGGTTAAAATTAATTTTTTTACTTTGACTTAAATTAAAACTTGAATTTTAATTCCTGTCAAATAAAAGCTAAGAGAGTTTACATGCTATGCTACTCTTATGTTCAAATTAAATGAGAATGAAAAATGTATGTGACATGACACTAAGTCGTGTAGTGTGTCACAGATATCATTTCTCACTTAGTAGATTTTTGTTCGGATAAAAGAAAGGTGTCGTAAATTGATATCATGTAAATCTTAGTACACATTTTGTTGGGACATTTATTACAAACAACTTCTTGCATCATATCCCAAGTAAAGGAATGAGATTGATGTTGGATGTGTAGAGTTTTCTCTTCGATAATGCTATGTGTCCGAAAGGTGTAGGCTCTGTGACGTGGGGGTGAAAATATACAAGAGCCTATATGGGTTATCTAGAAAAACTAGTACCTGTTGGTCTCTATAATATTTTAATAGTCGAGACATGTCGTAGTAGAGAGAAAACAAAAAGTCGTGAATCAAAAAACGTATTGCAATTCTTGTCTATAATATAGTGCAATTTTGATACGGTAAGAGGTGGACTTAACTCTCAAATTGAGAGTAAACCATCTTAAATCATATATAAAAATATCTCGATGCCCCACGGGGCATAGTTTAGTGGTGCAAAAAACATGAGTGGTGTAGTCTTAACTGAGCTGGCAGTCGCAGTGTGATGGTTCGATTCCTATCTCTTACAAAGTATGGATTTGGACTCTTTGTGGACACAGTATGGCAGTTCTTGTACCCTAATCTGTTGAGGCACATCCCGCAATTTCCCTCCTCCACAATACTCTAGGGGAGGGACGGGACCCTCAAGGTTGGGGTTTAACCCCCTTTTTAAAAATATCTTGATGGTACGAAGTATTAGTTCAATTGATGACGAATGATTGCTTGTTCACGGTGAAGAAACCTTGGTTAGAGAATTAAAGCAAAAAGTTGAAAAGGGCTAAAAGTGCAGTACGACAACGACGTATATAAATGTACCAAAGTTTACTGCATGATTGAATGTAATTAATTTAAATTATTATTTGAGCAAAGGCAAGGCCAACTACCCTCTTTATGCACAAATGAAGCGTTGAAACTGTGTGTACAGAGATTTGTTGAGAGGTGATTATTTTAAGCATTTTCAAGGAAGAAGCGTGTGACTCAATCCTCTTCATCTTCTTCTTCTTCCCATTTTCGTCAATCCATTTTTCATCGCAGACCACACCAAATTGCACTACAAACAAGTGCAGCTGATGAGGTCATCGTCATTTGGGAGCAGCTCGAAGAGGTCAAGTTACAGCCACTTGCCGGAGGGTTCCCGGGAGGGGCCGGAGTATGGAGTCGGTGGCGCAATGCTGCCGGTTTTTCTCAACGATTTGAGACGAAATAATGGAGATGATTTTGTTGAAGTCACGTTAGAGCTTGACGATAATTCTATTCTGTTTTGTAGCGTTGCACCTACATCTAACCCCGCGACCTCTTCCGCCGCCGGAGAGGAGTCAGTGAGTGGATTTTTGAAAAGGAGTTCCTCAGCAGCGTCAAAGTTGCGCCGAAAGCTCTCATGGCGGAGGTCGGCATCGTCGAGGGCGTCGGCTTCCGACGTGGAGGAACAGCACGAGGCGGCGGTTACATCGGCGCGCGAGCTGATGAAAATGAAAGCCAAGCTTGTGAGGAATAAATCGAGCGCTCAAAGAGCTCTCGGTGGACTGAGATTCATTAGCAAAAACACTGGCGAATCGGACTCCAATGTACTGTGGAAACAAGTCGAGGCTCGATTCGACGACATGGCTAAAGACGGCTTGCTCTCCAGAGAAGATTTTGGTGAATGCATAGGTAATTAATTCTTCAATTTCAACATAAATTCAGAGTTATGCACGATCAATTAAATATATAATTTACTAAAATTATGTTTAAATTTGTCGGTAGGGATGCCGGAATCGAAGGAATTTGCAGTGGCCGTGTTTGATGCGCTGGCACGGCGGCGGAGGCAGAAGACGGCGAGGATAACGAAGGCGGAGCTGCATGAGTATTGGCTACAAATATCGGATCAGAGTTTCGATGCACGTCTACAGATTTTCTTTGACATGTGGGTACAATGCAACTATAATCCTATCTTTCATTTTGATAATATCAAATTTTAATTAGATCTGTTGTTATGGATGATTATTGATAGGGCGGATAGCAATGGAGATGGAAGAATCACGAGAGATGAAGTGCAAGAGGTAAATTCGTTATTTATTGGTGAACTTCTTCAAACAAACACACTTCTTCAAATAAAAGTTTTTTCATTTACGTAATCTATCTATCTAATTAGCTTGCAAGATCAGCCAATTTATTTTTCTTATTAATAACCGTATTTTTATTTTGTGTTAAACAATTTCATATTTATTTTTGTACCTCGACAATGTTTTAATTTATTATTATTATTATTATTATTATTATTATTATTATTATTATTATTATTATTATTATTATTATTTGTCTTCTTTGAAAAACTGATATTGGAGAAATTAACTACAAATTTTGTTCAATAATTTTCGACTGCCCTTTTTTTTTTTTGGTGACCAAGATTCCAAAAAAGAACAAAAAAAAAACTGGCTGTATTTTGTAGAAAATGAACTTAGTACTGTGTAGAAATGCAATTTTTACTAAAGAATAGTCTTTTGTTGTTCATTTTAGTAATCTGATTCTTATTATTATTAACCAGCTAATAATGTTGAGTGCTTCTGCAAATAAATTATCCAATTTGAAAGAACGTGCAGAGGAATACGCCTCTTTAATAATGGAAGAATTAGACCCAGACAACATTGGGTACATCGAGGTATCAACAATTTCTCCTAATACTTAATTTACTATTTCTCTAATGAGGTGTCAATCAATTATGATCTTTATTTAAATTATCTTTTTTTTATAGTATGTTTAAGATTTCCTCCCGAGAAATTAGTGGGAATTTTATAAATGCTACGATTAAAGTTTGAATATTGCTATGTGTACATAACAATACATATAAGGGTGTACATAATGTAAGAGTGGTGGGAAGGGAAAATCTCTGAAATTATTTCCATATTGAACCTTGGACATATAAGAGTTTCGAATCGAATCTCTTGGCCCGCGCTACTGTAGCATGGTCCTTAAAGTTTCTCCTTGAGGAGATTTCTGAAAAATTTCTTCATGAGAAATAATATAACAATGTGCGAGAATCTTGTTCTCGAAATTGACATATAGAAGACTACACATCTAAGACGACGCTAAAGTTGCCCAAAGGAGGCCCTCCGATGCCCAAGACAAACAATAAGAATATTGTAACTGGAAATTATGCTTATATAAAATAAAGTGACATTTGTGACATTAATAGAAACCAGAACATCATTAAAGACACGTGCGAAACAAGATTTGCCCGTTTAGTATCCAATAATGGACAACACTGGGATACTAGACAAGGATTCAATAATCTCCGATCCAGAATACCTAATGTGACAATAACACGGAGAATAATCCAAACATAAGCAAGGTCAAGATGTAATGATTTATGTTTGATTATTCTGTGTGAGAGAAATAAATGCAAGAAAATATCTCTGATTTGCCCCTCGTTCAGTTATGGCAGTTGGAAACACTTCTACTACAAAGGGACAGCTACATGAACTACAGCAGACCTATAAGCACAACAAGTGCAGGATGGAGCCAAAATTTAAGTGCCCTCAAAGCCAAAAGCATAGTTAATAAAATCGGGTCGACACTTAAGTGTCTCCTGTTAGACAATTGGCAAAGGGGATGGATTTTAATGCTATGGATAATAGCCATGGCTGGACTTTTCACCTGGAAGTTCCTTCAGTACAGGCAGAAGGCAGCATTTCAAATAATGGGATACTGCTTAACAACAGCAAAAGGAGCTGCTGAGACGCTTAAACTCAACATGGCTCTTGTACTTTTACCAGTCTGCCGGAATATATTAACATGGCTGAGATCCACAAGAGCCAGGCTGTTCATCCCTTTTGACGACAACATTAACTTTCACAAGGTGAGAAACACAAGCAAAATATTTTCTTAGTAAATTTCTCAAATATATTTTTCTACAATAACTCGATTTCAAATCACAGATGATAGCATGCGGAATAGCAGTTGGAATCATACTACATGCAGGAAACCATATACTATGTGATTTTCCTCGTGTAATTCATTCATCCCCGGAAAAGTTTGCACTCATAGCAACAGATTTCAATAATGTAAAACCCACCTATGCCAGCCTTCTGACTGGTGTTGAAGGCTCGACCGGGATTTCTATGGTAGTGCTAATGACAATTGCATTCACACTAGCAACTCGGAGTTTTCGAAAAAATGGGGTGAAGTTGCCACCGCCCTTCAACAAACTAACAGGCTTCAATGCATTCTGGTATTCTCATCACCTTCTCGTTGTGGTATACATATTACTCCTGATCCATGGGACCTCCTTGTTCTTGGTCCACAAATGGTACCAGAAAACGGTAAGAACAGTGAATGGAAAATTTTCATAACTAGCCTATAACAGATAAATATTTATATGTGGAACATGTACTACAAAAATCTATAGGCTGAATTAAGAAATCATAGTTCTATTAACATGACATGTTGAAATGTGACAGACATGGATGTACATATCAGTTCCCCTGTTCCTTTATGTAGCTGAACGAAGTCTGAGAAGGTGTAGGTCTGAACATTATGCAGTCAAGATTTTGAAGGTAATTGATTTTGTTTCGGTTTTCTCTCTCACTGAAATCATCTAAACTTTGGGAGCAATATGGAAACCAGGCATTATAGAAAGACAATGGAGCATATTGTGAGGAAAGTTATCAACACATAAATTAGAAAGTAATAAAGTCAAGTAACAATACCAGAGCTATTAGCAATACTAGTACGAATTTGACAAAAAAAAAAAAACTAAAGAACAATTTTATCCCAGGTCAACATCAAATTGTGTATTGATATTGGTTCATACTAATCAGAAGATGCCTAATATTATCGTTTAAGCTTCAAGATGGTACCATAATGTCAACTTTAATATTGCTAAAGCTGTCTGAAAAGACAACTGTTGTATATGATGGCTACATATTTACAACCCTATAGATATCTTCCATAAAATTAAAGAATTCAAATGCCTTGCCTCCCTTTCTGCTATAATGCAAAGCAAAGTTTCAAGTAAACAATAACGAGAAAATGCAATGACACCTAAAAATCTACATTAAAAAATAATTTTACCAGTGTGTTTCTGGACTTTATAGGTTTCTGTACTTCCAGGAGGCGTCTTCAGCTTGATTATGGCAAAGCCAAATGGATTTAAATACAAAAGTGGGCAGTATATATTTCTACAATGTCCAAAAATCTCCACGTTTGAATGGTGAGAATCACTGCTGCACATTATATATATATATATATATATATATACACACACACATACAGACAGACTGATAGATAGACACTTGTATGAATGTGTGTATAGATGCTTGTAAGCATTAACACAACTTGAAATTTCAGGCATCCATTTTCACTGACTTCAGCTCCAGGAGACAACTACCTTAGTGTTCACATCCGTACAGTAGGAGACTGGACAAGAGAACTTAAAAGAGTTTTTACGGAAGATAACAGTTCGGCATGTGTGATTGGTCGAGCTAAGTTCGGAGCACTGGGGAATGTTGATCAAACAGGGTAATTTTATCCAATAGATTTTACTTTCTCAATATTATTTACAGGTGGTTATCTAGGAAGTCTGAATAAGGGTTATATATTGGTGCAGTCTACCTAAATTACTTGTCGATGGACCATATGGAGCTCCAGCACAAGACTACCAGAACTATGATGTATTACTTCTTGTGGGACTTGGAATAGGAGCTACTCCTTTCATAAGTATCCTCAAGGATCTAATAAACATTACAAAACCAGAAGACCAAGTGGTACAGTGCAATATCTAAATCATTATGTTTTTCACTTTATTAAAAATAAGATAATTTTATCTAAACTTACGCAATTTGCTGCTGTTGCTGATTCAGGACTCAACCACAGAAGCCAGCAAATCAGATGATAGCTCAACTAGTTTTGGCTCTTCAAGCATTGCATCAAATGGAAAGAAGAAATCAGAAAGGAGAAGGAGTGCACATTTCTACTGGGTTACCAGGGAACACGGATCCTTCGAGTGGTTTAAAGGAGTGATGAATGAAGTTGCTGAGATGGATCACAAAGTAATGCTCATCTCTCGATCGAAAAATAGGATTAAATACTTCAGGCTTCAGCCGATTTTTCATGATTTGAATTACCATTTTTTCACAATAAAACAGGGTCAAATTGAGATGCATAATTATTTAACAAGTGTTTATGAAGAGGGTGATGCAAGGTCAACTCTCATCACCATGGTCCAAGCTCTAAACCATGCCAAGAACGGAGTTGATATCCTATCTGGCACCAGAGTACGATTTATCATTATTCTACTATTTTTCGTAGATATAAATGGAACTATTGTGTCAATAACTACTCCATGATTTCCATTTACCTATTAAGTGAAAGTACTGGAAAGTAATCATGATAGAAAAAACTTGGAAGCGTTAAAGAGCTCTATCATGGAACCCAAAAGTAATTCTAACAATTGCTTTTCAGGTGAGGACACATTTCGCAAGACCGGATTGGAGAGAAGTATTCAACAAAATAGCGTCAAAGCATCCATTTTCAACAATAGGTAAAGATACTTAAGAAGTAGATTACCAATCACACACATATGCACCCATCTTAAATGTTGTTTTGATCTTCTCATTGACATGTTGCTGTCAAGTTGTTCCAGGTCACTGACAACCATATGATTCAACAAGCTGCCAGCTAAAGATGTTATTTTACAAAAAAAAAAAAATGCTGCTTGCATAATTGAAGCTAGCAGATAATATTACAATTATAATGTCCACCAAAAGGGAGAAAATAGAAGGATAAAAACAGAAGTACGCTGAAAAACATTATTAGACATAATTCTGAATACATATTTTATTCCTTCAGTTTCAGCACAGTCTTAACGATTTAATCTAATGATGAAAAAGTTCGTCATATGCTAATTAACTAATTACAACAATGACACATCAGAAAATACTTTCCTCGGTTAATAGCAACCAGACTATTGAGGAGCAGCTAGGGTCATAGAATCCTTGCACATTTTGTAATTTATTATTAACAGGAAATAACTCATCAACTTGCAGGAGTTTTCTACTGTGGAATGCCTATCTTGGCAAAGGAGCTGAAGAAATTGTCAAAAGAAATGACTTACAGAACGTCCACAAGATTTGAATTTCACAAGGAATACTTTTGAAGCAGGAAGATTAGTAACTAACAATTCAAGCTGTTATTTTGTTTTTGTAATTTTTCACATATATAAAAATTTATATTCATTATATTTGAAAGAATGTAAATAAATATATAATACAATTATAATTATCAAATATCAAAATACAGATTCCAGAAAAAAAAAGGGTCCAAGGCTTGTTAAGTAAGAAAGAAAAGGGAGTAGAATTTGTTCTTTGTAATTGAATTATACAGCATTATGTTAGTAAAATCGCATCATTTTTTTGGGTAATAAATACGTGATCAATTTCAGTAACTCATACATATCAGGGATATGAAAAATCTAGATAGTCATCGTACAACTAATATCTATACCGGATACAAAATTCAAGCATTCTGAATAGAATGCCTTACCAGCAGTAGAGGCTTCTGAATTACATTGATACCTTGCATTGAAGTACAAAATCTGTGCATGTTAATAGAAGAAATGGGTAGCATAAAGAAGACGGAGAGTCGAAAATAGTTTCAACTTACTGGACAGAAGCAAAAGAAGGAGAACTGGCGATTAATAATCTGCAGCTAAAGAACAGTGCTTGACATGGCACCAAGACATTTTGGTTTCTGAATTGCATAATGAGCATAAAAACCAAAATAATTGCTTCATATATATATTGTACGAAGCATAAACACGCCCCACAGTAAAGACCAATTATCCCAAAATTAAATGAGTAGACACAAGTATATTGTATACATTTTTTTTTTCTTTTCTGATAAATTGGGTAAAACATGTAACAAAAGATTAATGCATAGAAGCACGTATTGAACAGAAGTATCATGAAAAGCAATATAACTTTCCATGAGTGTATACAGTTTCAACAACCAGTAATTGATAAGAACTACAATAAATCAAAGAGACAGTGTCCACGGGGTTAAAATTTTCTTCATGATTGATCTTCAAACAGGCTTCCTTTCAATTTTCAAGCGTCTCAACTGACAACCTAATCATTATTCAATCTCTTGAGAAGTTTTGAGGCCCAGAGACGAACGCGCCGTTTAAGCGTGTAACCAACCAATACTCCAGCAATAAAGCAAATAGTACAAAGCTTTGAGCAGGTCCACAGTGATACGGATTGTCTGCATTCACAGATTCATTATAATTATTTTAAAGGTCTTCTATTTCTTTCTTACCAACTTATCAAAACCGCAAACTGACACAGATAAAATAAAAACATGTGGTTATTGAAAAGACCACCACTTCTACATAGACAAACATGTGGTAATTCTGTAGCAATGTTCATGGAAACATTGTCTGAAGGAAAGAGTTTCTAATCTCATTGATTCATGGAACAGGAGATAAGTACACCTCCTTAACTACAAGTGCAGTTGTAATTAATCCAATGAACTCTCTGCCAGAAAAGTTCTGAATTTTGAGAATCTTATCTTAAATCAAAATAACAAGAACTGTCAAATGGCATCAGAAGACCAACAGTGTGTTTTATGGAGTAGTTTCATGTACACATTAACCATCATTAGTCAAAGACTGCCAAATTGTACCCGTCACGACCATTAAACAAATATTTCAGAGGATCCAAGAGTTATCATATGGTAGATGCAAACAAACATGCACCCACACACACACAATGGCAGTAAACCAAGTTTTATCGACTTTTATCAAAATCTACGAAAAATCTAATTTTTAGCCAAATCAAACAGGGGCTTAATGTGTTCCTTAGATTCTGGAAGCAAGTCAAATGCAATGTTTAAAAAGGTGTAATTAGGTAGTGAGGCGTTGTTCCAATATGCGGCGAGGAGTAAGCCCCCACCATAAAAAAATGTCAAAAAATAAATAAAATGCAAAACAAGCTCATAATCAATCATAAACAATCTTCAAAATTCAGTATTGAATACTTAAGTGTGTAAACAAAGAAAAGAAAAATATATAAAGCATCAATAAGGAACTATTATTTTAGTAGGAATGTTCTCAATACTGATCTATGAGAAACACAATTTTTTTAATGTTTTAGTGAACAATAAGCTACTTCAATAATGGGTTTATCAAAGTTTTATGTTTTATAGGCCCACACCTATAGCGAAGTAATAAGTCTAAAGAATTAATGAGTGCATGCTTCACAAGCCTTCAGGCGGTTCTATGAGGCGTGAGCCTCCAAAAACTGCTTCACAATCAACACCTGAGGGCTTTTTTTACCTGTCTCACTTGAGGGAGGCCTCAATTGAGTTTTTTAAACCATGGGCAAACTGTTCTTCTCCAATTCATTTTCTCAAACGGACTGGGTTTCTTTAGTAATTCCCATGTTTAACAGCAACATGTTCTCTGACATTTATATTCAGATTATTTCCAGTTATCATCTCATGACTCCTTTATTCCCCTTTGCTTTCCTTTGCATGGCAAATAGTTCACACCATCTATTTGATGCATTGATTTTCTTTAGGCTAGTACTTGAGGGGTATTCAACAGATAATTTAAAAGTTATCATGACGTGACGTACTATTAGATTGAGGAATTCAACATTTTCATGCGGAAAAATGGTGTTTTTAACTGTCGTTCATTGTTTTCCCTTTCTTAGTTTAACTTAATATAAATTCATGCATTCATAAAAAGTGGCGGGTCCTATAACTGGAAACGATGTAAATATTTGTTGACACATTTTCTGAAAGCTGCAATTGGTGCCTTAGTTGACTCCGGAACACAGATCACAAGGACAACTTTTGACCGTCAATACTTGAGCAAATAGGCGAGGGTTGGGCTCATTGCACTTTACAATTTCCTTAGCCCACTCCTGATCCCCATCAATTGAAACGTGTAACTAGTATGTTGCTCCAAGTTCTCGTTCTGAATGTAACATTCTTGCGTAAACTTTACTACATGTTCATTAATGTAAGTAGACATCTTCCAAGAAGAATCTCCTTCTTCACGGAGTTAAAGAGTTAGAAATTGGCTTTAGACCACAATGAAAGACCATAAGATGACTCTATGACTCTAGTCCTTCTACATTTTCTTCCTAGTAATCATTTGAAAATTCCTATTTCACTACACTAAAACTATGTATCCTATTTTCCGTGTTTAGTCATATCAAAAGTAAAATCCCCACTTTTTTCGGATATATCTTAATCTAAAAGCTACATGATAAAAATAACCCAGATGCCAACAAAGTTGAAGTCCTATACAATTCCTCAATTCGAGAGATACCTCTACCTATTATAGTAACAAGAGAAGGTCTTCTGCGCATGATTGAATGGACTTTGAAACTAATGCATGTCTCAACTTCTAAATGAAATGCTTGCACTGTCTTCATTTGAGGTTTAGCTTCCTCTGCTTTGAGGAGAAAAAAAAAAGAGGAGGAAGTGATCTCGGCTTTTTAGAGACCCCTTTTTTCTGAAGTGGAGGAAAGACCAAAATCCTATTCTTATCCCTTGAAATGGGTAACTTACGAACTAAAGAATGTTTCTCTCTATATTCAATATAAAAATCAAAATTTAAAAGATTTCCTATATTTCAATATAAAAATCAAAACATTCTTCTCATCTCTGTAGACCCCAGAGTAATAAATGGAGGATTCCAAAACGGGATACCAGACATAGATTCAAGATTTCAGTAAGCGGTGCTTTCATTATGCGGTTCCTCTTTGACTCTTTTAGTTAGTGATTGTTCATCAAAAGAGAATGCTTTCTTAGGTAAAACCAAAGAATCTCCCCAAATTACATTGACACACCAGGGAAACACCATGGAAACATCTAGTACAAGAGGGTGAGAATTTTTATACCTGGAAGATCGGGTGAGCAAAAGCTGAGACTGGTCTGCCGATAAATCTATAGTAGACCCAGAAGATGAATTCGAGTTTAAGGATGTCTTCTCTAGAGAAGAGGCGAAGGAGCTGAGTTTTGCTGTCGATTTCTCTGCCTGTGACATTGCACTGCGATATGCTTTCTGCAATCCCTCCATTTTCAAACAAATCGAATTCCGGGGAATGATTGTGATGATGTATTTATTTTATGGTGATAATAGCTGAACCTCACGCAGTTGTGATCAATTTGGTTTTTAGGGCCAGCTAGGGAGTTTAGCCTTGCGGAGTTTTTTTAAGTATGGGTTTTGAGCGTAGATTTATTTTGAATGTTTATTTTTAAAAATTGAGAGTATATTATTCTTCGATTCTGAAAACTTTTTAAAAGAATAAAATTATATATATATATATGAATTTTTTTTTAACTCATAAGTGATATTTTACTTATAGGTATTTTTTTTACATATAAATTAATATTTAACTTAAAAAGTTGAATAAAGTTAAATATTCATTAACTTTTAATTATAAGTAAATTTTATACTGTAATAATTTTAAGTGAATTTTTTACTTATAAGTAACTTTGTATATTCTATAAGTGAATTATCTTATTAGTAGTACTTTTATTTTATAAACAAATTTTGTTACATAAAAGTGATTTTTACTTATAAGTAATTTTTTAATTATAATATATTTTTTCTTATCTTATAAGTAATATTTTACTTAAAAGTATTTTTTAATTATAATATATTTTTTTGCTTATATATAATATTTAGTTTAATATATTTTTATGTACAAGTTAGTTTTGAAGAAAATATGTTGATTGTAAATAATTATTTTATAGAGAGTAAAATTAGAAGAGAATATGAGAAACAACCAAAACACGCTGATTTGGTGGATTAAGAGAATCGGTCAAAATTTTACTACATCGATTTTTAGTGGGTTTTAAATCATCCAAAACTAGTGCCCATAAAAAATAGCAAGCACCAATTTTTCTAACTCATAAATGGTGCCATCTAAAATCGGTGAAAAAAAACTCACAAGCAGGCCCTTAGCAGTAAAGTTTCTAGTTTTCTCTATGGAATGATGTAAGTTAGGATTGACAATGGGTCAAGCCGATTCATGTCTACAAACAAAGCTTGACTAGGCCCTTTGGCTCATGTTTTTTTAAATTAATAAAATAAACTAAAAAAATGAGTGAAAACTGAGCCAATTTACGAGCTTAAGACGAGTTACTTCTGTGAAGTACAAAAAATTAAAACTTTTTTCCGACTTACTGAAAGTCCACGCCTGACATAAATGACTACACATGGAATTGCGGGACTATTGTTACGAGTCATAATATAGAAGTGACACGTGGCACCATATTTCAGTGGTGGACCAGTTTACTTTAGTTAACATATTTTTATTTACAATTTAGTCCTTGAACAAAATATATTAGCTGGAAATCATTATTTTATAAAGGGTAAAATTAGAAGAGAATATGAGAAACGGTCAAAACTCACCGATTTGGTTGGTTGAGAGAACCGCTCAAAATTACACTACACTAATTTTGGATGGTTTTTCACTACACTGATTTTAGGTGATTTCTTAACCATCCAAAATCGGTGTCCAAAAAAACCAGTAAGCACCGTTTTTTCAATACTGCATAAACGATGCCACCCAAAATCGGTCAAAATCGATTGAAAAAACTCTCAAACAGGCTCTTAGGCTTTTGGGCTTTATTGTTGGTTCCTAATCAAAATCAAACAAGAGCAAAGTTTTACTAGGGTTTGAGGTTGGACTTTGGGTTAGGATGCCCATCCGACTCATCTGTTCGGACGGCTCGCAGTTCAACCCAAAAAAAGTTCGAGCCGACTCAACTCGAAATTCGTTGGATCGATCTGAGGCTCAGGTCGAGCCTCATTTTCAGGCATTAACCTAAGCCCAAGCCGCGCCGTGCGGCTTTACGACTCGTATCACAAGCCATTTTGGCCCAAGCAGGGAGCACAAGCTACTTGTGTATTAGGCAACTACATGTTGCCTAATTACGACATCTACATAATTTTTAAGTTGATTTTTTTATTAAAAAAATATGTAATTCTTAAGTTTATCTGTTTAAAAAAAAAATTTACGCTAAATATTTTATTCATGTATAATTTTAATGTCGCCTACTTTAATTGTAGTCTATCCGAAGCTTGAAAAAAGGATGAGGATTGTAACTTTAATTAATCTACTATCAGCATAAATTGCCCATAATTTACATTGTTAAAAAAAAATCGAATGTCACCACTTTTAAAAAAAAAGGGCTCGTCTTAGTAAGCCCGAGCGTAAGGCCCGAGCCAAGCATTGATTTTTCGATCGAGCTTTGACTCGACTCAGCTCGGCTCAAGCTAAAAAAGCTTGAGCAGCTTTTTTACTTGAGCCGTGATTGGCTTGCAAGGTGACTCGACTCAACTCGCTTATCTCCCTAACTTTGGAAATATGAAAATTGAAATATTCGGAAACTGGAGAATTTTTTTTTTTTTTTTATGTGTGGGTGCTTCTATTATGTTACAAAAATTAAAAATGAGGTGATGTTTTTGTGTTAACCAAATTTACTTTCATTAATAGTTGCAAGTTAAAAACGCTCATTTGATTTTGTAATAACTTTGTGAAGAAAAAAAATATCAAAATTTTAAATAATAATAATTTGATCCACGTTCTACATTATCTATCCAAGATTATTATTGTAACACAAATATTCAAGAAAATGATATAGTACTTAAACAAGATTGATCCTGAACTTGTGTAAAGAAGGGTGAGACAATTTGCTTTGGGAACCGATGTCTTTAAAGTGATGATATTCAAAAATAAATTCTCACATTTGGAAAACAAAAAATATGGTGTTCTAGTGCCCTGTATAGGTAAAAAAAAAAGATTTAAGATTTTGTTAAAAATTGATTTCTACAAGCTTAAATTATTAATCTGCGTCTTCAAGTTCTGTGAGTTTCCAAAAAGACATGCATAAACTGTTGTATCATAATTTTCGACGGATAATTCAAATTTTAGTTTAATAATATATGTTACATGCAGCCATTGGGATGTCACATCAATCACAAAAGAATCCCAACACATGCCCACAAGTCTCATGTTCAACATATATGCATTGGTTGACACGATTCATCTCGAATCACCCTAATGGACACGACATGTGTCGTACGTCGATGGTAGATACCAGCTGAATGCCGGACCCACCACCAAGGCAACATAGACCTGCTTTGACTGTGACATAACTTTATAAAAATTTTGACAAAACCACCTAAAATATAAGCAATTACCTCAAATACGTACATATAACTTAAAATATGGTACACCAATCCCTTAAAACTCAAATTATTCTAAATACAATACTCGTAAATCAACATTTGCTATTATTTACCATCAAAGTCCCCAAATGTACTCAAAATACCCAATATGCAGCAAACCCATGATATGGATACACAAATTAACTTTTCTAATACAACTTACGTGTATCCCAAAAGAAATATGAGCTAAATAGACTAACAAAATGAGTCATACAACTAATGATAATAAATGGCTCAACTTAATGGATCGACAGTCTCCAATGTTGATCAACTCAACTACTATCTGATAATAAAAATATGACAACATATATGAGTTTGTAACTCAGTGAGAGGATAGTTTGCAAATATATATACTTTTTTCATTTATACATATTTACCGAAAAATCTGATTTATTTTCTTACAGTCTTAAGAAACTCTAAATTTTGATCATATCTTTTAGAATTGAAATATGTTAAAATTATAAAATTCTTACTTTTTATTCTGAATATCAACCGTAAAATATGTCGAGTATATATAATCTGGTATCAACAAAAATCTGTGTAAAGTTGTAATACTCGTTTAATTTTTTGAGGATAGTAATTTAACTTTTCAAATTGTGTATTGCCAAGCTATTAGTGACTACCATGTTTTCATTGTTGGTTAATTAAAAGTTTACCAAGATTAGTTAATTAGGGGTTTGGAATAAATGTTAATTGTTTAATATCCAAGCATGAGGTGTTAAGCAAACATGAGGTGTTTAGTGTTTAATATTCAAACATGATGTGTTTATCTTTGTAGTAATAAGCAAGCATGTGGTGTCAACTAGTTGCNATATCTATTTATACCTTAGGACAAGTTCGAATAGCACCGACAAGCCGAAATGTCCAAGTATGTGTTTGAATTGTGTAGTATTAATATGTTAAATCCGAGCATGGTATCTTACTGAGTATTCTTTATACTCATAGTATTTATACTAAATTTTCAGATCCGTGATCGTTGAGTTGAGTTGGTGGAAGTTAGTCGACCTTCTTGATGATGGGACAAAGTTATTTTATATCGAAACTTTCTTTCCGTATGTTTTGTTCAAAGACTGTTTTCCTTATTTTTTTGGTGGTATTAATTATAAGCATGTATAGGCATGATGTAATATGGTACTGGAAGTATATTTTGTAATCATATCTTTCATGTTACGCTAAAAGGCATGCTTATAGACCTTTTTTCCTACGACGGTAAAAGAGGCAGAAATTGGACAGTTTATTTGGGTCAGTTCAAAATGCTATTACTAACTCTATAAACATCTATTTGAGACTCAAAATACTCTCACGTTCCTCTTTGAGTTGTCTTAATATGAGCACAAGAGTCATTCAATTTGGGAAACTTTCCATATTTTAACCTGGGAAACTACTTGGAAATATCTTTCAAATGCTACAAATTTCATAGAAAACAGAGTTGGGGCGAATTTTATAAAAATGTTTGAACTGGCTGCCCAAACTAGCCGTGACAGCACCTAGTCCGCATACGTAAAGAATAATTTCAAGTCGGCATGCACTCCTGCTGGCCATTAAACTTTATAGAGATATTTTACTATAAATTAAAAATAGGTTTTCTGTATGCATTACATTTTAATTAAGAGTTTTTACATGTAATAAAGGCTGAAGTTATTATGTTAGTACGTGACACTCGAAACTTAAGTTCGGGGTGTCACAAAAGCTGTCATTTCTGCAAGTTAAAATCGTATTTCTGTAACCGAATAAGGTGAATTCTATATTCTGAAATTAACTACTATCTGATATTCGAAAATCTGTGAATCTATAATTCAATAAACATAATGTGATATACTAAAAAATCACACCAATAA